CTGCATGGATTTAGGGTTTAGGGTTTAGGATTTAGGATTTAGGGTTTAGGATTTAGGGTTTAGGGTTTAGGGTTTAGGATTTAGGGTTTAGGATTTAGGCCTTAGGGTTTAGGGTTTAGGGTCGGTGCGTGCTCTGATCATGGAACAGGCCGAAACGGTCTCGGAATCACGGATGCAGTCACTATGCAACTTTCCAGCAAGTCTTTTACTGAACTACTCCTCACTGCCAGCTTCAAAGCCGTTGCACAAGCAGAAATGAGTTGGGCACTGATGCCAGCAGCCAGTAGTGCCAACAACGCCTCAGTGCACGGCGCCATGCAGTCCGCTACACCCGGTCAGCAACAGTGGAACAGTAACCCGTAGCTTGCGAGACACTATATACTTCTGATTTCTGATGCACTGCAAGTCGAAGATGCGTGTCACACCTCTATGAGGCCAGCGTAATGCAAAAACACCATGCCGAAACAGATGAACGAGAAAACACACGGACAACTGGACGAGTACGCTAGCGCGGAGTTCAAGCAGGCAGGTGAATAAATGGAGAAGCAACATGGGAACATAAAAGAAAGCCACTTTCCTACATAGCTGACCTGCTGCTGCAATGGATACTGCGACTGACACCTAAAAGATGCTGCGGATACTACTAAACCCTATAAACCCTGAACCCTGCCCCTTAAACCGTAAACTAAACCCTAAGCCGAAAACCCTAAACCCAAAACCCTCGACCCCGACCCATCATAAACCCAAACCCTCTTGTACTACCACGACGACGACTGATGCTGTCCGAGGCGCCACGGCAGCGACCACCAAGGCCCAGAAGGGAAGAGCTCGATGGCCCTTGTCCTGCGACAGTGCCCGTAGGCACTGCTGAGCAAATGACAGAAAGAGAAGGCGAGAGAGAGAGAGAGATGGAGAGGCGCAACGAGGCACAGTTCGTGTGTGCGTGTGTGTATATGTATGTATATATATATATATAGATATATATATATATATATAGATATATATTTAAATATGCACAGCGTACATACATAAACACATATACATATGTACATATGTATGTACATATGTGCATATGTATGCACACGCATGTATATATGTATATGTATATATATATATACATGTACACATGTGTAAACTACATGTGTGGGTATATATACATATGCATACATGCATACATACATATATTTTTTCTGCATGGATTCACACCTGTGTGTGTAGGTATATAGGTATGAACTAGAGTGTATACATAAACATATGTGTGATTGGCATGGCACGGCATGGCGCCGCCTGGTGTGACATGTATACGCATGCATGTATGCATATATGCATATCCGTACGTGTGTGTCTGTGTGTGTGTGGGTGTGCTTGCTTGTTCGGTTGTGTGCTTGGTTGGTTGGTTGGTTGGTAGGTTGGTTGGTATATACACGTGCATGCATGCACACATACATACACACAAATACACACATACATAATACATACATACATACATACATACATACATACATACATACATACATACTTGCATGCATGCATGCATGCATGCATGCATGCATGCATGCACCCACATGAACAAACATACAAACGAACAACGAGCCAACCAACCAAGCAACCAACCAAACAAACCAAGAAACACGCCCAGCAACACACGAAGCAAACAAACAAACAAGCAAGCAAACAAGCAAGCAAGCAAACAACCAAATAAACACGCACAAACACAAGCAACAAACACAAACGAATCAACAAACAAATCAACACACAAACCAACACAATCATACAAACAAAACAAATAACAAGTACATATATAAAGAACATACACATACACACACATACATACATACATACATACATACATACATACATACATACATACATACATACATACATAAACACACACACACACCCACACAGACTTTAGCACCTCATGTGCCTGCCGTCTCGACGCATCAACACATCAAAGTCATGTTTGAAGCTTGTTATGGACATAGATACTTGTAGACCATTCAGCAGCGAGCGCACGTTACTCAAACTGTCGAAAGAGCGAGACAACGGCAAGAAAGACCACCACAGACAAAAGGGGAGAGACTGCCACAAACGCAAGTATAAACGAACGGGGCGATCGCCCATTCGCCCAACCCCACGCCCCCTCCCTAAACCCTAAACCCGAAGCCCTTAACCCTAAAAAAACCCAAACCCCCAAACCCCTATTCCCTCTTCCCTAAACCCTAAACCCTAAACCCTCTGAAAACGGTCCCCGTTGATGTCTGGCAAATTCGAGTCGCAATCTGCCTGCGCGATGCCCTGCGAACGAGCTTGAAGGTTCCCAAGCCCCAACCCCAAACCCTTCTGGAGTTTAGGGTTTAGGGTTTAGGATTTAGGGTTCAGGGTTTAGGGTTTAGGATTTAGGGTTTAGGGTTTGGGATATGGGGTTTGGGGTATAAGATTTAGGTTCAAGATTTAGGATTTGGGGTTTGGGGTATACGATTTAGGGCTCAGGGTTCAAGTTCGAGCCATCGAAAGCTCCGGTGTAACTTCGTGCCTAAGCTTTGGGGGCTCAACGAGCTTCTGGGTTCAGGGCTTCATCTAGTGGCCTTCACAATTCGAATAAGGTATTGGGGGGATATAAAACCATATTTTTTCATAAAGAACCCAACAAAATAGTACGTAATATAGTGGCCTTCATAATTCGAATAAGGTTTTGGGTGATATAAAACAATATTTTTTCCATGAGGAACCCCCCCAACATAGTAGATAGGGGCCTTTATAATTAGAATAGGGTCAGCGGGGGATATTATGCTACATTTATAATAAGGAACCCCCCAAAAAAAGAGTATAATATTACCTTAATAAGTAGAATAGGGTGTTGGGGGATACTCTACTCTGTTTATAAGTAAGGAACGCCCAAAATAGTAGAGGTAATTAGTAAGGCCCCTATATTAGGTTCCCAAGCGCTTCGGGGTGTTTGTGGGTTTCGGATGGGCTGGGACTTGCGGCTTCTTACGGATTGAGGCCCTTAGAGGTGGAAGGTCGAAGGTCTGGGGCTTTGGGGTTTAAAAGCTTAGGGGTTCAGGGTTTTGGGTTTGCTTTGGGTTTAAAAGCTTCGGGGTTTAGGGTTGAGGGTTTAAGGTTTAGGGACGTGT